CCCCCCCCCCCCCTCACACGTTATAATTAGCGGCACTAATGACTAGCGTTGAGAAGGGCGACGGGTAATTAAAACAACTCCCGCTTCCTCCTTCTTTCCGCTCGTTCGTCAACTCCCCTCTCTCTTTCGAGAGAGAGAGAGAGAGGGAAACTTGCCAAGAATTTTAGTGGCCGCGCGATATTTCAATTAGCATCGTTTAAGCGGCGGTGAAAACGGGTGCCCGCGATGCTCGTGTTTCCGCCGCTGCTTGGCATCCAGGGGGAGGGAGCGTGAAATGGAGGAGATGAGACGGGGAGAGGGAGGAGGAGGGTGTTTACCGAGACGGGTTTATACGGTCTCGTGTTCAAAGTCGGTGGACAACCGGGCAGCTTTGCCTTCCTGTTGCGCGACCTCTTCCGTTCCGACGCACACACGTCTTGCGAGAAAACACGGGCGCAGCTCGAGGGGGGAAAGGAGAGGATCGAGAGATACTTATTTTCCAATCCTTTGAATCCGGGTAATTGGGACAAGTATAATAAGTATTTCGAATAATTTTATATATTCAGTGTTATATATTTTCAATTTTGAATTTTATATATTTTTTTATTTTATTATATTTTTATTATATATAATTTTATATATATTTTAAATTACATATATTTCATCTTGGTTTTATTATTTAGGGAAGTGGTTGGTGTTCGTTGAGATTTTTGGGAATCGAGGATTGGTCAGGGTTGTAGAGATCGTGAAGAGATTAAGAGTTTGTGAAGAATTCTTTTGTGAAATATATAACTAGTGATTTGGTATTAATATTCGTTGTCGTTTATTCATTCGATGTATATGTAAGAAATCCATATATCGTAACTTTCTAACGATTTTAATGAAAAGATAATTGTTCAGAAAATATGAAGTTGAAATGCAGGGATAGAATATATCGAATAAGAAATTCTTTGTCGTTGTTGTTGTTATCGATTGGTGTTTTACTTGAGATATGATATGAGATATTATAACGATTTATTAGAATTCCTTTGGAATGCGCGCACGGTATTATTAATTCGAATCTTTGATGTTTCAAAAGGTGGATTATAAAGAATATTCTTTTATCAATTTTATCATTTATACTATAATGATACAAATTCTTTTGATTCTTATTGTTTCTCGCATGATTCTTTATTACTTTATGGATGCAATTATTGCACACATTATTTTATTATTATATTATATACGTCAAGAGATAACATCGATCGGTCAGAATTCTCGACTAAAAAACTCTCTAAAATTCCACGATTCCGTGCAACGATCGTAAACTCGTTTCAAATTTCCCGCTTCTCGATTAACATCTTCGCGATCGGTAAAATCGATTTACGCGTCGTCGGAATTAACCCATGCGTCTCTTTACAAAAGGGAAGGGGCGGCACGATTAAATACACGCACTAATCGAATTATTATTCCCAATTATGCGGCTGCTTCGTTAAAGTTGAAACCAATTAAAATTCGAGTCTGATGAAATGCAATCTCCTTCGAACGCAAAATTTAAATTTAGCGTTCAACGATGAAGAAACAACACAAACCTCGAGTTAGAAACTTTACGTAAAGCTCACAAAAAACATATCCTATTATATATATAACTTAATTTTCAAGGAAAATTATACATTCACATTTACATCTTAATAAACGTTCTTCTGAAAAATTTCTTCTGATAAATCTCTTGTAAAACATCTATATCTCCAAATCCCAATATTACTTTATTACAAAGTGAGTCACCCAGTATATACAAACTTCTTTCGTTGTCACCCTATACCTAATTGATCCTATTACAACACACGTCTAAACGTTGAGTTCACAATCAAGTATCAAGAAAGGTATCGCCAGTTTTGCCCGGAACACTTGACGGTTTTCCGGTGTACCGCCGCGACACATGACTTTTCCAGCTCGTCTACCGACCTTAATTTCCGGCCAAAGTGATGGCAGATACAGGTAATGCCCGTCGGCATCGGTCGAGACGAAAATTGAGCCAGGAAGAGAGAGAGAGAGAGAGAGGGAGAGGAAGCTACCGCCGATTCAGCGTGGATTTAATTTAATCCCCATCAGTCTGTTCTGGCCTCAGGGTGTCGTAAACACCCTCGACCAGATATGGCACACCTGCACCTGTTCCTACTCGTTCTTCCCTCGTAAGGGGTGGCGTTAAGCTCACTTAACGTTCCAATAGCGGTCACGACGCCTCTCTTTATCGTAATAATATAATTTCACGAAATCGTTCTTCCATCAACTTTTTGCGTTTATTAATGATGCGAAAAATATATATATATATATATTTATTTCAAACGTGACGGGAATATCGGGTGGGTATTCGGGTATTTTATGAATATCAAGATATCCATTTATATCCGTTTTATTTGTCGTAAATTATTCATTTGTATTGGAATATCCAGTATTATCGTTGTAATATTATCATTCATTATTATTATTTGTATTATTCAATAATATTTACTGCATTATTCATTTATCGTAATTTTGTATCGTGCCGTTTAAATTTCGAGAGGGTATCCCGTAATTATGAAACATTTATTAAACGGCACGATGAATGTAAATCCCTTTCCCAAAACCGTACCGACCTATCCAAAAATTATCTATAAAGAAACGAGGAATTGATAATTGATGCTAAAAGAAAAAAAAAAAAAAAAAGAAGAAAAAAAAGAAAGAGAGAAATTCGCAGCTGTACAGAATCGCATAGCGAATTTTGTTTGTATACGCGCGAGCGATTCCAACGAAATAGGGAAATTCCGGAATCTATATTTAATTCCCCCTCGAATATATTCCCCCTCTGAATACACGCTGTCACGCGAACGAGAGATAATAACAGTCAATTACCTATACGCGTGTCGCTGGATTGACGCGTGAACCGCGATATAAATCACGCGCGCACAGGCCGACGATTCGAGCTAAACGATCAATCGAGAAAGCCTCTGGACTCAATAAAACTCGAATTAAGTAATGCACGCTGCCGCGATCACGAGCCGAGGGGGGTGTCACGGGTTGATGATTGATACCCGGCGTAGAAAAGAAAAGGAGGGAGAGAGAGAGAGAGAGGGAGAGGGGAAAGGACAATCGTTATCCTCCCGTAGTTCAATTAAGAGGCAGGAGCACGGCTCGCCGATCTTTCCCTCCCGGTTGAAAACGGTTTACCCTTTAATAAGGATCGTTCTCCTTTCTGCTTTCAGACAGAGATAGCGAAGAGGTTAAACGCCATAATTGCTCAGATCCTGCCATTTCTCTCGCAGGAACACCAACAACAAGTCGCTACTGCTGTTGACAGAGCCAAACAAGTGACCATGACCGAGCTCAACGCCATTATCGGGGTGAGTGCACGCCAATGGAAGATAAATTACCCGCTGTGATGAACGCGAGTGTGTGTGTGTGTGTGTGTGTGTGTGCGTGTGTGGATGGCGAGTTCATGTACGCGGTTCATGTGTCGGGAGTTTAATCGGACACGCGAAAATTTCAGGAGGGGGAGGGCGAGACATGGGAATTTCGAATGAAACCGATGAAGGGGGGGTGTTCGTTGCTGGGGGCAATGACGAGATCTGTTTATTAATATTGTAGGCGTTTGATAATTTCATGAAAAACTTGCGAATTTTTGTTTAATTTTTATTTTAAAATGGACGTAGCAAGTATGGTGTATAGTTTTGTATATCGTTCCTATCGTAATTAATTTAATATCAATGAATATTACTTTCGTTCGAAGTTATGTGCGTCAATCGATGATAAAATAAAGATTGTAAAGAGTAGGTTTGGAAATTGTGAGGATTAACATATAACTTGTAAAAAAATGTTATACTTCTGAAGCGCACGAACGATATCTCTGTCTCATTTTTTTGACCATTTTCTTGATCCATTCGTGTCGATAGTCTTCAAGTAACGCGTAAAACGGTGTGCACACGTAAGGTGTAAATAATTAAATAGAAGATTAAATACTCGATTAATTGCATTACGATAATTGTACGTAACGATCGATGTTGAAAGAGGCGCATATGAAAATAACAAAGCACCGAGCTGATCATTTTCATGTTTCCCATTCGATACCGATTAAACTTACAAACAGTACGCGCTCGCGTACACAACTCGTGTAACTCGCCCGTTTGTATTTACCGGCTGGAAACTATCCACCGGCATTACTATATCGAGCAGTCGATACCCGCAAATTAAATATTAAACGTAGCCGATGACACGAAAAACAAACATCGTCGAACAATCGAAATTTCTCGCGGCCGATCGAGATTGAAACGATCCCGTCGCTTTTCTAATTCGAAAATCAATTTTCCACTGCTGCCATCACCATTTGGATTTGTGGATACACGCGCATAGAGTGTTGTTTATTTTTTCTCCGTCCCTTTTATCTGGTTTTTTTTTTTTTTTCACGCTACATATATAGGCTTCGTTACTTTCACGGACGGATAAAAATTTCTGAATTAAAAAAACGATCGAAATCCGTCGCCAACGAGACAATTATCGTGTCGTATCGTGGCAAAGGTGTATACGTTGGTTTATGTCCAAAAACGTCGCTCTCAATGGAGCTTCTATTCCAATTTTCAGCGTCAATATATACCAATCGCAAACGTGCGTGTCGAAAAATTTCCAATCCATTTTGAAAAAAGCGCGAATCGATCGAGTCGATCTCTCATCGTGATTAATTTCTTCCGAGACGGGGTAAAGTCTTGGCCCGTGTGAACGTGCACGGACACCTCTCGGCGAGTAAAAGCCTTGGGTGGAAGGCCGCAAATCCGCTCGGGGGTTAAATTTACGCGAACTCGTTCCGCCAGGGGCTCGTATCGCCGTCGTCGTCGTCGTCGCGTGGAATAGGAGGGAGGAGGGTGAGGGTGCTGCGATTCGGTCCTGCACTCACGGCGAATGAGAGCCCCTGGCCGCACGCCAGGCGGCGGTGGTAGGAGGAAGCCGGTGCACGCTCGAGGAATCCGAAAGCGGACGGATGGATACGATCCTGGCGAATCCCGAATCCTCCTCAATATTGCTCGAGCACTCAATTTCCTCCCTATTAAGCCGCCGGCTTCTCCCTCCCCCCTTCACGTCTTTCCCTCTCCGTTTCGCCACCCCCGTCCCCGTCCAGATAGATAGATAGATAGGTAGACAGGACGCGGCAACAACCCCTTTTCTCTTCCTCTCTTCGCTCTCGTCTTCCACAACCCTTCTCGCCCCCCCGAATCTTATCTTCCTCGCCGGATAGGTTATAGTGTTACGGCGCACGAGCACCGACTAATCAGCATTCCTGCTACCCAACCGCCTCCCAACCACCCCTTCGTCGACTTTCCCTCCTCTCTCTCTCTCTCTCACTCTCTCGTTTAAGTTCGACCATAGAAATTTCCACGGATCCGCGGCGTTGTCGGGCTACGTGCGGCAAATCCTTAGCAAAATCCTTCGGATTCTGCGCGCTTTAAATCGCTTCTTTTTAATCCAGCCTCGTTTCCACTCTCGTTTTCTCTCTTTTTTGTTCTTGGTTGTGTGGTTCTTTGTTCTTGGATTCTGTTTGGATGGATAGATGGTATGGTATTTTGTCCATTTTTTTTTTTTTTTTTTTCTTTTCCTGTTTGCGCCACTTGTTCGTTCATCGACGCTCTTTTTCGGGGGGAATCGATGGAAAAAGTTTCGAGGCGAGTGTATCGGTTGTTATTTTCGTCAAGATTAATCCATGAGATTATATTTGGAGCGATAATTGGACTTATCATCGAAGTTAAAAGAAATATTTGGAAACGTGCTGTGCATCGTTATGTACATTAAGTTTATCGTCGTTCGTTTTTCTTTTCGTTTTTACGATGAATTATATATATATATATATGTGTGTGTGTGTTGTGTGTGTATGGCAAATACTTGTTTCCTGCTTTGATAATAAGTTGTATTTCACACCTCGAGTGATTTATCAATCTTTATCCAAATCATATCATATTTGTTCGAAGCGAGGAGATCCTTATCGACGTTCTATGACTTTTATCGACTACAAAATGTAATCGCCTCTTCATCGAATCAACACTTGTCCGTTATCTCGACATTGTATTTACAGATATGAAAATGTTGTGGAAACGTTCGATATCGTGAACGATTTCATCGTCAATTACCCTCTATCGATCGATATATATTTTTAATATCTTCGTTATTAATGGAAAATCAATCGTAATGCTTTTCTTCGCCTGGAATCCTACAGTTTATTCTTTTTCTAATAATACGCTTATCCCGAAAGAAATACTTTCTAGAAAAAATTGTAAACAAGATAGCGCACGTACACACACACACACATATAATAAATATTACACTTTGGTTTTGATCACAGATAACGAAAATAGCTTGTATTTACACGTTAGTTTTCCTCTACCCAGAGTTTCATTAAATATTTTCCAAAGAGAAATCGAATGATTTTAATTCGGACGCTTTTCAAGAGGGTTTAAAAAAATCGATCAGAAGGGAGAGAAAATGATCTGTTTATAAAGTTAGAAGGCGCAGACGATGCTGCTGCTGCTGCTGCTGACGTTCATAATCCCGTGAAGGAAGGAGCCAAAAAGATGCTTTTCAAGCGTCAACGATGTGTGATACAGAAAGAAGAAAAAGAAGAAGAAGAAGAAGAAGAAGAAGAAGGTTAAGACGATCCCTTTGGATCTTTTAACGGCACTATCTTCACGGGTGGTTGAGTCAGCAAGCATCAACGACACCGGTGAAAACTGCTGAGAACAAGGCTTGCGCCTTGGTGGATGCAGGTGCCGCAAGAAGGCTCGCGTGAAGATGAAGGGGTTCGTAATGACTTCCTCTTTTGCCGCCACTCACAAAAGAAGACCCACCGCGTTCGGCGCGCAAAAATTCCAGATTGAAATAACTCCGCTTTGCCGGCTTTAACTCTTTCGCCGAGGTAAATTGACTTCGGGACGAAAGAAGGAGAGGTAAACCGGCAATAATTTTTCGTTTAAACGTTTCCATGAACCCGAGGGTTGGGCCCAAGCGTTAACAAAACGAGAATAATGCCAAACGTGATTAAAACTTTTCCCAGCTTTTTTATAAAATACGATAATAAAAAAAATAATACAATAATCCCTATTAAATTATATATAAAAATTTTTATAAAAATATTTATAAAAATTTTACAATCTCAAAGAAAACTTCTAAAGTGTGAATCAAATTCACAGAAATTGACGATTCGATTTATATTTTTATCATTTCGATAATACGAATAATAATAAACATCCGAAAACAAGTTAAAAATCGAGTTAATCTCGATAACGATACGAAATTTCCTATCGATAAGAGTTATTAACCGAATTGCTTCAAAAAAATACACACGTCTAAATTTTTCAACACCCCTTTCCACCGTGTCCACGAAACGTTCAGAACGAAATCCGAAAGTTGGTCGCGATCATTAGCGGAATCCATGCCGCAGATACGGAAATGATCTTCTCGACGTGAATGGGCCAAGAAGGGGGAGGGATGCGACAGCCCGAGGTCAGGATTATCGTCGTATTTACCGGCGACTAGGGGTGGGAAGGAGAAGAGCTGGGAAACGTTTACGTCCGCCTTTCTTTTCGCCACCCCCCCTTTCTTTCGTGTTTTGCGGGCTGGCTCAGACAGTCGCTCTTATTATATCGTTAAACCATTTAATTATCTCGGCAAACTACTCCCCAGGAATATTCGGCCCTGCCTTAACGAGTGTACACGGTTTGCCAGAGGGTGGACGGGTGATGGCGCGCTTTTCCTCCTTCCTTCCTTCCTTCCTTCCTTCCTTCCTTCCCTCCTCCTTCTTCTTCTTCTTCCTCCATCCACCCCTCTTCGATCCTTAAGCGTTAAAACGGCGCGGCGTGGCCTCTACAATTTGTCTGAAACTCAACCGACACCCCCTCCTACCAACCTCCCCCGACTAACGAGGAGAAACTACCGGGAGGGGGGCACGTTTATAGCCGTTTCCTCGAAACTTTTCCCCTCCCCCCATTCTCCGTCCCTTTCTTTCTCCTCGCGGTTTGCGGCGGAAAGGCCGCAAATAAAGTCGCCCGCCCGCCACTTGTTTCGTACTTTCGGGATTTGCCAGTCGGCCTCTCCGTCTCCGACGGTTCGTGGAGGGGAGGGGAGGGGGGAATTCGAGGGTTATTTAAACGGGACCCGCGGATGGAAGTTTGCCACCGTGATTTGTGTATCCCCTCTCTCTCTCTCTCTCTCTCTCTCTCTCTCTCTCTCTCTCTCTCTCTCTCTGTCTCTGTCTCTCTCTGTCTCTCTCTTTCCTCGTGGAAAGTTGTGTCCCCCGGCACGTAACGAGAGGGCTCCTGAATAACCGGGGAAAATTAAATTACGATCGATGACTGCAACGTTTTTTTCTCTTTCTCTCTTCTCTTTCTTTCTTTCTTTCGCCTCGCGCGAAGGGAACGTTTAGATCGATTTGTCGCGCGATTTCAGAGAACAGAGAAATATGGAATGGAAGGAAATTCTTTAAATTTTGGGCTTCGTTCCTCTCTGTCTCTGTCTCTCTCTTTTTTTCTTCCTATCTCGGACGATGATATGGAACGATTATTTGTTGGAGGATTATACGTTTTTTTCACGATAAAAAATAGTTAACGGAGGCGCGTTTCATCAGTGTTCGATGATGCCATCGATTCGAATCTAATCTCGGGGCCACTCGTCGGGATCGGCGTGTCATCGGTTGTTGTTGTTCAAAGATTAGATTTCTGGATCGGGAACGTTTTATCCCAGGGAGAAATCTTGATACACTTGTCAATTATATCGATTTAATCACATGTCGTAAAAGCGTAAAAAAAACTTAATCATTAGCGATTTTACGACAAACTTGTCGTAATAAAATATATTTTCCACGAATTGAAAGTGATTGATCGATTTTATTATAACATTTTATTTTTATTTTTCTTTCTCTTTCTCTCTCTCTCTCTCTCTCTTTTTTTTTTTTTCTCTCTACGTTTCAACAAATAAAACGATAAACACCTCTCGCAAAAGTATTAATAAATACTTGTTTGATATATTTGATATATTTCTATTACACTCTTGCATCTTATCTCGTATCATTTTAATTTTATCTCTCTCTCGGACGATATAACGAAAATAATTTTAATTGGTTCACCTTGGAATATCCATTTTTATCCTCGATGATGAAAAATAAAATCGATTTTGTTTATTAATTTAAATCCGTGTTTTTTACAACAACTCGTCGATACAAAAGCTGTTCTCGTGGAGGAGAGAGAAAGAGAAGAAAAATGATCAGGGAGGAAGGTAAACGATATACTCTTCGAGGTGATAAAAGTCGAAACTTTCCTGATCCGTTACAGCAACAAAGGCCAGACCTGCCAAGGCTTCTTCAGCAGGTGCACGCCCAACAACTACCACCTGGCGCCGCTATGGGCCCGCATCCAGGCATACCTGGCCTTCCCGGGCTCGGCCCTGGTGCTGGTCTTCCCGTTCCTACGTCAGCCTCCGCAGCACTTCTCGGATTAGGTATTCCACCGGGCGCCGCGGCAACCGCTGGTGGTACAGCTGCTCATCCCCTCTCGATGTTGACCAAACCGGACATCCATCGTCAAGCGGACGATTTAAAGCACAACGGAGGTAAGCTGGTCCCTTTCGAAATTTCTCTTCGATTAATTAGTCGATTAAAATCCCTCGAGATATCTGTCGATGAAGATATGAAGCGAACGGGAAGAATTTTTAAAATAAGAAGGAGAGGAGAATTAATTTGACAATCGTGATATTTCTTTTTTACAATGGAACTCTTTGCGTTACACTACTTTTGCACAAATATAAAATTGATAAATAAACGGGAGATCGGAACGAGTCACGAGTCAACGACGAGTACGAGGAATAAATTTCGTATCGTGGAATAGAATTTTATCCAAATTTTCGACGAAATTGGATAAATAATTGCTTTTGATAATAATGGTAATCTACTTATATAAATTCTCGTAAAACCGTGATTTTGATTTAACCGTGTAATTAGTATGATACGTGGTTTACATTCCACTCGAAGCAGGAAATAATAGAGTAAAAAGTCAGAAGATCAATGTTTTTGCACGTTGTTGCACCATCATGCTTCACAAGTGATAGATGTATCCTTAATTAAGCGTATACCTCATTAAGACCCGTGAAATTGCAATTGCTTTTTTATATCGTTTAGCGTGTACGTAGCCGGTGTGGATAATTATAAGCGTTTTAAACAACAAGAAAAGGAAAAGGATAAGAAATTAATCGAGGTGTGTTATTGTATACCAAACGAAACCAATCGGTCGATAAATCTAACTCCTATTTATTATACATTTCCACTCTACCTCCTCTAATGGCTAAGAATTACGTAACGAAATCGAAGGTATTTAATAAAACTCGACCCATCTGAAAGGCTAATCATTCAGATTGAACAGATAGATTTTTATTGTTTCATTCGTTCTACGTACGCTCGAAAACAAAAAAAAA